TTTGTAAATATAATTATGCTTGAGCACTATTACGATCACTTGCTAATCACATTGAGATTGACGCTTGAGAGCGACCTCTGACTCTGCCTCTAAACTGGTATGTTTTTTATTTAAATTACACCTGATTTTACAATTGAGTTGTGATGCGTCACAAAACATTAACACAAATTTAAACTCAAAAATACCTTTGATACTAGTATTTAGCTTTATCCAGATTTCTTTTTATTCCAATTCCATTTCGATAACATTCTGCAACTTTTGACATTCCATTAATGTACTCCATCTCTACTGATTTTTGGTAATATATGAATGCCTTTTGTTCATCCTTTTCAATTCCATATCCATATTGATAACAACATCCAACATTAAATGTTCCTTCAGTATTTCCCATCTCTGCAGATTTTTGAAAAAAAATGAAAGCCTTATGTTCATCCTTTTCAATTCCAGTTCCATTAAAATAACAATATCCGACGTTAAAAGCTCCTTCAGCATTCCCCATCTCTGCAGCTTTTTGACTATAAATGAATGCCTTATTACTATTCCTTTCAACCCATTTACCATGATAATAACAACTTGCGAGAATCATTTGACTTATAGGATTGATTTGATCATTTAAACAATATTTGATAATACCGTCTGGATTTTGCTTTTTCTTTGTTAGGAATTGTTAAATTGTTTCAAGGATCGTATTGTAAGCTCGGCCTTTCAATCTTTCTTCATTAACCAGATTATACATATCTTTAACAATTTCAGTAAAGGAATCCTGTGAAAAATCTTGTGACTCATTATTACCTAAATACAAATGGACAACATCGTTAGATATTTGAGTGATGTCTGATATATTGCCGTCTTTCTCTGGTTGATTTTCAAATGAATCATTGTAAATTGACATCTTTCTGCAAGTAAGAATGTGATACGAAAGTAACAAATTTATTGAAGAGATATGTATCACGTTGCTCAATATTTATTAGATACATGCATATTATCGTTATAACATTCCCAACAAATTGGTATGTACCGCACAAAAATCAAAAAAAGAATTAGGTCGAAATTGCGCAATGTTTCCGAACCAATTTTACTATAAAACAGGCATATTTTTAAGCAACTAAAAAAAAATTAGTTTCCAGCCAATATTAAGAATTTTGAAGATCATCGGCTTAAATTACTCTAAAGTATCGCTATATCTCAAAAACTAGTGTAATTACTGCTTGATGTCTTAAGCAAAATGTTCAGCGCCCTAAAAACTTATTGCTAACTTTATTTTCTATCCCAACATTTAAACTCCAATATATAATATTGTCCTATTTATAACCCTAGTCTTAAATATTAACTAAAAAAATTATGTGGCATTGAGCACCGTGATATGATTTAAAATTTTTGATAAAAATTATCTCTAATTAGATTTCTTTTTTTTTTATATTTTGCTCTCTAAGATTTAGCATAATCTCTAATCGTTTAATTTTTATAACAAATAACAATGATTTCATTAATCTCATCAATAAGATTTTTATCAACAATCTTTTTATCATCTTCATTAATAATACAAGATTATTTTCATCATAATTAATATCAAAAATTTCAATATTTTCATTATGAATAATATCCGGATCAAACAATAATCTTTTTTATATTCTCATTAATATCATCATCACCATATATAAGATCTTTAATGTCCGCATTATCACCATTCTTAAAACTATTTCTAATATCATCAATAATTTTTCTAATATCATCAATAATATTTTTAATATCTTATCTTTATCATCAATGTCATCAATTATAGATCCTTGTTCAATATCAATGCTTTCTTTCTTTTTTTTACAATTATAAAAAACATCATTATCGAATTCGTAAATATCAGGAATTACAAGCCAATACATTACTAGATTTTTTTTGCTTTCGTCGCTATTTTTATTTGTTTTGTGGTCTTTACTGTCTTCTTTTTTTTCAATTGTTATGCTGTCTTTAATATCAACATCTATTTTCTTACTTTTTTTGCTGTCTTTACTGCCATCTTCTGTTTTTTCTTCATTTGTTCGATGTGAATAAGTAAAATATTGAAATATTCCAGTCTCAAGAATATTCATATAAATAATTGCATATTTAATAAGTTTCTTAGCAAAGAAACCTCTTCTTAGGCCTGGGATGTTTATAATGTCTTTATCAATCTTTTTCGTGCCACCTTTTATACTTTGGATGTATTTATAAATTTTTTTATCCACATCTTCATTAGGATATTCTTGAAGTTATTGGTAAATGTTTCCAAATATATCATTCCGTTCATCTGGCTCCTTTAAATTACACTTCATACGATCAAATAGTTTCTTTGACTTTGTAAAATAATGCTTTTTCAGATAAAATACCAAATAAAACTTCAGATAGGACTTTTGAAAATTTTTAATAAAACTACTCTTATCATCTTCTAAATCAACATTTAGATAAAGCCTTTGCTGACCTAATAATCTAGATGTGTGTTCTTCGGAAAGAACTGCTAGAAAAACAAATTTATATGGATCTCTGTAAAAAGATATTCCTCCATTGTCTGCTTTCTCAAATCTAAACCCATGTTTCAAAATTTCTATTACTTTGATATCTTTATCATGAGAAAAAAATGATGAAATCGAACGAGTTATAACTGTTGAAAGAATGAAGAAATAAACTAAATCAACCTTTTTAGGGGTACAATATACATCATATTCGAAAAAACATTCTATTATAGAAATGAAAATAACAAAAAAGAAAATTTTTTTGGGAATAATTCTATTTGTAAAACAAGTTATAATCAAACAAAGGGATAATATAAAGTAAAGTAAATCAGTAGAGAAGCTTAAAAGTTGTAAATTTAGAATCGCATCTAAATGGGCTAAATCAGATGAATAAGTAAAATTGGGATGGCGAGTTTTACCTAAGACTTGCATCACATCATAAAAAATCATTGTAAGTGAATTAATAAAACTGACCAATACAACAAAATATTTAAAAATACAAAATCGATAGTATTTTTTAGAAAATAAGATTCTTGGACATTTGAATGGAAATACAGACATATTATGAAAATCATCTACCATCAAACATACGAAAAAAAAGGAAATTAAATTCATATGAACAAGTAATGACAACATTAATTTAATATGGTTAGGGTTTTCACGATCATAAACGAAATAAAAAACAAATTTAAAGAACCACGAAAAGATTGGTACAAGAAAACATGTAAGAATTACTAAATCATCAACAATGCAAGTATTTCTAAAACTTAATCGAGAAGTTACACCATAAACAGCAACGTTAAAAAGTAATATTGCAATAGTACCAAACCCTGAGATTTGATCAACTATGGTAGTATGACTAAATTCAGATTGAATTTCTGAATAGTCTAAACTACTATTACATTCAAATCTTTTTGTATCTTTATTATATGTTGGGAAATAAAAGATTTTGTCTCTTAATTTTTCTACTTCGTTGTCAGAAACATAAGGTATAATAAAAAAGAGTAATAAAGTATAGATAACAAACACAACAATACATAATGTCGATAGGAATGAAAGAGCTGCTTTGACTCCGTTTCTATAAAAGCTGTAAAAGCAGAAATAGAAACCAAAAAGGCATACTGCGATGATAAAAGAAATTATTGTTGGTGTATCTGATATTGGACTCATTGAAATAAATTTAATTCAACAAAAATGAATTATGCCTTTGTTATTTAAGCGTACGTACGTACGCATGTATGTATAAATATTTTATTATAATATTACATCTGATGCATACTAGACTCTTGCTGCAAGTAGTGATTTGACCCGGGCGGAGTTTTGGCCACTCGGGTAGAAACGGGTGAGTCATCCAACGGGTGGCCCGTGAATAGAATTGCAATCCGTTATCCATTTTCCTATTTAAAATTTAACGGATATCGGATCGCATCTCTACCCGTTAACAATAATTGCGTCATTGCGCGATTTCTTTTGTGCAAGACATTACTAAACCTCAATCCAAATATGCACTTGTATGTAAGCAAATCGAATAAGCCAAAGGTTCAACACGAAAAGGCAAAAGATCTACTATCGCTATACATTTATTTGATAAAAATTGACCAATCATATTTCGCATATCTATATTCACCCGGGTGGCTCATGAGTCCACCCGGTGGGTTGCTTTTTTTAACCCACCCAGTTTCTACCAGGTGTCTCATGCGTCCACCCGCGGGGCATTTTTTTTTTTGATGGGTCCAATCACTAACCGCTTGTTATTTCAGGATGTCATACATATTATTTTCAGATCCAATATGTTAATGGAGGATCTATTCTGAATTTTACAGCTCTGCGTTTGTAGGGCGTAAGTACGAGATAAAGAAAATCAAATATTTCTTTAATTATTAGTACAGTGCATAAATCAATATTATTTTAGTTCTACGAAGTGTCGATACTGTTAAAGGCTTCTGATTGATACATCTATACAAGCACATATGTGTGCTACCAAGAGAAAACGGGCCATGGGCTTTTTGGTTTATAAATTAAAGGACTTAGCTCCCCAACAGTCTGATTATATAATCGATACATACCGGCACAGTACATGTGTATGCATGTACGTACCTACGTACATTCCATTTCTGATTTTTCGAGGGCTGAGTCTGTTAAGTTATAAACTCAGAAATTCAAAGCCCAATTTTTTCTTGGCGGCAAACATTTGATTAATTTCGTTATGAATTTCTCCTAAACATTACAAATATAATTTAACGAAATTTTAAAACATGCACACGTGTATACAGTAATCATGCTTGCATAATGGTGTAAACAAAATCTCACAACCCTAAGGTCGCACTGAAGAAAATGGTAGCCGGATTATTTTGCTGGCTTACATGTGTTTTCGGATACTTATTGCAGGATAAATGATGAAATTTTTATTCAACGAAAGTAACTTTCAAGTGTTTATGACAAAATTTGTTCTCTATATCTTGGATTTTTATTAATTGATATGATCTACAATAAATTCAATGCCATAAATAATAAGAGTCGGTTTAAAAGCATTGCGTGGTTAAAATTTATTATTCAAAATTTATCATGGAGCTTAATAACTTGATATATTGATATCGATATAACTGAAAATTCAAATTTTAACCTATCGGGCCTAAAATTGTTATATAAACTATATATGTTTCTTCTGTCTGATTGGCAATAATATTTTGCCATGTTGATTATTCCAAAATTGGGAAGGTCGCTCTTATTCATCGATAATATCGGGCATTTCCAATTCATATAATTCACTACCTATAAAAATAAAAGGAATTATTAAACGTTAAAACAAAGAATCCTAGAATTTATTAATAAAATTAAATTTATAATTACCTTTATAATCAGTTCTTGATGAAATAAAACTACTTTTATATTGTGAAACATCATATACTTGCATATCTTCATTTTTTATATTTTGTAATTTTTTATCAGATACAGTTAATTCTGATAAAATATTCTCACTATTCTGCCATTCTTCAAAAATGGCACAAATTTCTGTTATTTTTGGTCGTTCTTTTGGTTCTATACTCCAACATTTCTTCATTAAATTAGCATAGCAATTTGCAGTATTTTCATAAATATGTGGTCGTAAACCATTACAAACTTGTATTTGAAATTGTAATTTAGATTGTAATTTTGATTTTAGCTCAAAAGGTACGGGTTTACCGTAAAAAATTTCCCACATGATTATACCAAAAGAATAAATATCTGATGCTTTAGTATATTGTTGATTCTTCAAAACTTCAGGAGCAATATATGGTAAAATTCCACAAATTTTATCAGATTTTGATTTTAAAGCAATATTAGCTGTTATCGAAAGCCCTAAATCTGCAATATACGCGCTTTTCAATTCGTTTTGTAGTATATTTCCACTATGTAAATCACGATGAATAAGATCATGAGAATGAATTATCTGAAGATCTGATGCAATACATCCCAGTAAATTTAATTTATCCTTCCAATCCATTTGTGCTATAGTGCGCAGATTTTTGCGCAAACAACCTTCATCATGACGAGGATATAATCTTTAGAAACTTTATACCGAAACATTTTAAAAAAGTTGGATCTTTAAGACCAATATCACAATATGCCTTTAACTTATTATTAAAGTGAAACATGCATTCAAATAATTAACTAAAATGATTTCAAATAACGTAACTATTAAAAAAATGTTTAAAAAAAATTACCTCTCGTATAAATTCTTCGTGATAATTATTAGATTTATGAAGTAATTTAAGCGCAACATATCTGTTTGAGATTTGACTTTTATCATACCAATAAGCAAAATATACAGTTGCAAATCCACCTCTACCTATTTCTCGAATATAACTAAATTCATCATAAGAAATCCAAGATAATTGATATTCATTTTCCATAAATATTTTTTTCAAATCATCATCAATCTCTGAATTATGTATCCACTCACTCGTAGCTATCAATTATTTATAAAGTTAGCCAATAAATAAATTAATAAACAATATAATTTATGAAAATTGATTATGATAATAATAATAATACCTAATGTTAAATCTTTTGCCCTAATTGGCGATTTTAAATATAAGAAATTATTAAATAAGTATATTAATATATTATATGTACCGTTATGAATATTACATGTTACTTTGGTGATGATCTACCAATTCATATAATAATAATAATAATACCGAGATCAGATGTAACCGGTTTTTTTATTTTAATTAAAATCGTTTAAGTTTCTCTTATGAAATCACTTTTTTAAAAAATTTTAGGCCGTCGTTCTAACCCTAAACTGATACATTTTTTGATTTTAATTACACCTGACCTTACGGTTGAATTGCGATGCGTCACTAAACATTAGTACAAATTTAAACTCAAAATTACCTTTTGTACCAGTAATTAGCTTTATCCAGATCTCTTCCTATTCCAACTCCATTTCGATAACATTCTGCAACTGACGACATTCCATTAGCAACCCCCATCTCTGCTGATTTTTGGTAATATATGAATGCCTTGTGTTCATCCTTTTCAATTCCATATCCATATTGATAATAAGCTCCCACATTATATGTTCCGACTGCATGCCCCATCTCTGCAGATTTTTGATAATAAATGAATGTCTTATTCAAATCCTGTTTAATTCCAATTCCATTGTCGTAATAATATCCAACCAGAAATGTTCCTTCAGCATTTCCCATCTCTGCAGCTTTTTGCGCATAAATGAATGCCTTATGATAATCATTTTCAACCCATTTACCATAATAATAACAATTTCCGAGAATTAGTTGAATTATAGGATTGACTTGATCATTTAAGCAAAATTTGATAATATCTTCTGGATTTTGCTTTTTCATTGTTAGAAATTGTTCCAATGTGTCAAGAATTGATTTGTTATCTTTGAGTTTTAATCTTTCTTCATTATACAGATTGCACATTTCGTTAACAATTTCATTAAAGGAATCCTGTGAAAAATCCTGTGACTCGTTATCACCTAAATCTAATTGGGCAACATTGTTAGCTATTTGAATAATATCTGATGAATTGTTGCCTATTTTTGCTCTCTTTTTTTTCTTTTTAAATATATTTTTAAAAATTGACATATTGCCGCAAGAAAGAATGTGCTCAAAGCTTTAAATTTATTGAAAAAATATGTACTACGTTGCGCAATGTTCATTTAGATGCATGTTGCCGCGCACAAATAAAACATTCCGCTGTTCATTAAATGGAAAATGTTACTGGACCAATTTACCATAGAACAGGCCTATTTTTAAAATTTTCCTTTTGTAACTAAAAAAATTAAAAAAAATTAGATTCCGGCCAAGATTAAGGATTTTGAAGATTATCGGCCTAAGTTACTCTAAAGTGCCACGCATTTTTGTGCAGTGCAACATCTTAGGATCTATTGTATACATATTGTCATGTAAAAGGTAGCAGATAGTATTTATAAAATAAAAGGCATAGAGATGCTTTATCTATCTAAAAACATCACGTAACTACCTTATTTATAATACATAATAATAATAATAATATATTTTTATTATAACTACTTCTTAGATTGGCTTTTAATTAGATAAAAAAATTATTCCGATTTTTTTTGACAGCTAAATTGTTTCCAATGTTTTAATATAAATGAATGCTACAATTCAGTGTATTTATTTAAACTCAAAATATCAAAAAAAAAAATTGTTCTTGAGATGTTAGTAGCCATTCATTCCCAATTTCATAATGAATACGTTATCAATTAATGCAATAATTCGAGAATGAATATGCCTTATTTGATGATTTTAGATTTAAATGAATATTTCGAATTCTGGCATTCATTTAAGCCAAAATCATCGAAAATATTATAGTTACTTACTTTACAGATGATGAATGTTCATTTTCTTTGTAAATTCGATTTTTTTTGCTTCAATATTCTAACAGGCATATTTCATGAACTAGCTATCCTTTTCTTCATCTCTTATTTTATCACCCTTTGCTGTCCTATCAGCTTCGTTATTTGTCATTTAAATGTTAAATTGACGAAAGACGAATTAAGTTTCGCGTTTCGTGAAACTTTCTTGTTTCGTCTAGCAACTAGAAGCAGATGATAAGTTTTAATTAGATTATGCAAATTTAATGAATATTTGTGTATTATAACGTTATGATAACAAAGTGACAAATTCGTTTCTATAATT